TTTTTTTTTTAAAGAAAAAAAAAATTGCATCGCGATGGAGAAAATGTCCCGACCGCTCCCCCTGAACCCCACCTTTATCCCGCCTCCCTACGGCGTGCTCAGGTCCTTGCTGGAGAACCCGCTGAAGCTCCCCCTTCATCCTGAAGACGGTGAGCGCTGCCCTCCCGCCCGTCCCGCTCTGGGAATGGACGGACGCTCCGTGGGCCCCCCGCCGCCGCAGGGCACCCCGCTAGCTAGCTCGCTCGCTGGAGCATCCATCTCCCTCAGTCCCCAGGCACCCTGGCCCTGCTTTGATGAAATAGAGGAGCTCACCCATCACCCCACCCCTCCTGGGAAAACGGGGACCCCCCCTCCCTGAGCAACGTTTAAAATAGCGCTGGGGACCCGGCCGGGCCTCGCGGGGTCCCGCTCCAGCGGCGCAGGTGGGAGCTGGAACTTGACAGGTCAGTGTTTCCCGCATCGAGGCCCCTCCGCCCGCGGGGTGAAGCCGCCTGCGCCAGGGCAGAGCTGCTCCCGCTGGGGAGGTGCAATCGGGGGGCTTGCTTCGGTCGGGGTGGGGGCTCGAAGGGGGGATCCCCCTGCCCAGGCCGGGTATTGGGGTCCTGTTATTGCTTCTGTTATTAGTTAGGATTTGGCACTCGCGAGGTGTGATCGGAGACGCGCGTTCTCCGGTGAAGAGTATTTGAGAAAGGGGGGGTGCTTGCAGGAGGGGGTGTCTCTCGGCGGGAAGCCGTGCACGCCTCCAGCGCTGACACTTTCCCGGTGCGCTTTCTTGGTGGGAGGGGAGAGAGGAGCAGGCTCACGTGGAACCGCGCAGGAGCCTCCTCTGGCTCGAGCCCTTTCTTGGTAAGTCCCAGACCTTCCCCCAGGCAGCCTTGGCTGCAGCGGGACCGAGGGGCTGGACGGACGGGGCCGGCGCCGCCAGGGACTTGTCCTTTGGGCTGATGCGGATTCTTGCTTTCTCTATCACAGCAGCAAATTCGAGCCGTGGGGCTCAGAGTGCAAAGTCTTGAAGGATCCTTTGGCTACACATAGCTCGGGGAGTACTGGCATCTCCTCGCCTAGAAATGCAACCTGTTGCATTGCAAAAGTTGAGGGGTTTGGTTCTCAGCCTGCAGAGCACAGCTTTCCTTGTGACTCTCCTTTAAGGAGTAGCACTTGGGAGGAAGGTGCTGCCTGCAATCTTTTTTGCATCCGTGGGTGTTTTAAGTCACATTCTCAGGAGATGAGACTGTAGGGGATTAGAGTGGATGGCGGTGGAGGCTGTTTCTCTGGGGAAGAAACTCAGAAACCAAATTCCTTAATCCCAGATTCCACTGGCGCCTGAGCACTAGACTTGGCAAAATCCAGAGCGCTGGTTAAAGCCCTCATGGGGTGAGGCAATGCTTCCAGGTAGAAATAGCTGCGCACCTCCATCATAGGTATGTAGAGTAACTACCTTTCCCGTCAGTTGTGCTTTTAACAGGTTGCAAATGTGTATAGTGTTTGTGAATTGGGTCATACTTATGTGTTTGGGGAAAGTAGAGGAAGAAAACACTCTGTGTTTGTGTGTTTTTTTTTAAAAAAACACCTCCTTCTGTAAAATACAGCGTAGCTCAGTGGCTTTAGAAGCAAACGCCTGTGAGCTCAGGAGATGTTTTCTTCCTTACCAATATGAGGCATTAGTCAAGTTCCCTCAAGGCTCNTAAAAAAACACCTCCTTCTGTAAAATACAGCATAGCTCAGTGGCTTTAGAAGCAAACGCCTGTGAGCTCAGGAGATGTTTTCTTCCTTACCAATATGAGGCATTAGTCAAGTTCCCTCAAGGCTCAGAGCCTCCATTTCTTCATTGTAAATGGGGATAATTGCTATTTGCAAGTTGACTGTGAGATTTTTGGAGATAACATATGGAAAGGACCAGGTATATAGTAGGTGCTCAATACATGGTTTCAAAGAAAGGTGGAGAGTCCCTGCTTTAGCAGAACTAGAATCACCAACTCACCGGCTTTCCACATCCGAACAACTTCATATTGTTACTATAATGACTTTCCTAGATGCTAAATCATGCCTGGTTATTGCCTGCTTTCTTAAAATACAAAAACCCAAACCATAGCAGTTGTATGTAATTGCAAGTGTTATTTTCCCACTGTGGATTTAAATTATTTGCCTCCTCAAATCATGCCCTGAAGACTGCTGTCTTGTTGAAAACCTAGAGCAGTCTGCAGCCCTGTCCCAAGGACTGGCACTTTCTTCCCAAAGTAAATAGGAAGATGTTGAAAAACAGGCAGAGATCCATGTCCTGCCTGAACTTTTAACTCTAGATCCACAAAGGCAGCAGCCAGACAAGCCCGGTGTTTGTGACCAGCAGCTTTGTAGCAGAGGCCAGGGGAGGTGGTGAAAAAGCGGCGCGTTTTCTTTGTTAAAGTCCAGCTCTCCCCTCTCTCTCCCTGCAGCGTTTAATAAAGACAAAGACAAGGAAAAGAAGCTGGATGATGAGGGTCACAGCCCGCCCGTCCCCCAGTCGGCGTTCTTGGGACCCACCTTGTGGGACAAAACCCTTCCCTATGACGGAGACACTTTCCAGCTGGAGTACATGGACCTGGAGGAGTTTCTGTCGGAAAACGGCATCCCCCCCAGCCCTCAGCAGGACCACAGCCCTCACCCCCCGGGGCTGCCGCCGGCCGCAGCGCCCCCCTCCGTCATGGACCTCAGCAGCCGGGCCTCTGCGCCCATCCACGCCGCCATCCCGTCCCCGACCTGCATGCAGAGCCCCATCAGACCAGGTAAAGCCTAGAAGGCTGCCCTCCGGGCGGGGGGAGGCCAATAGGAGGGCAGGATGCGGGCGGCGCAGACATCTTCACGGGGGCTCAGCTCACTCTCAGAGAGGAGCCTCGGACTGGGTGGGGAAAAAGGAGGTGCACAGTTGTTCTTGTGGGAGATGCTGCAATAATTAATAAGTAATAATAATAATACAAGAATAGGCTGTTCCATGTACTCTCAACTATAAACCTACTTTTGCCCCACCCTGCGATTTGCCCACTGCGGTGGTCGTCCAGCTTCAGTGAGCATCTTTATCACCCGGAGAGTCAGCTAAATGCAGATTCTATGGACCTATCCTAGAAATGCTGATTTTTTTCAGGTCTGGGGTCAGGGCCCAGGAATATGCATTTTTAACCAGCTCCCTGGGGGATTCTGATGCAGCTGATCCAAGGACTGCAGTTTAAGAAATACCAACTTACAGTTCATGATTTAGGCAATTCAGGCATCCATCCAATCTCCTGTCTCTTTTCCACACCCCCAACTACACAGATAATAGGCTCCTGCTGAATGATTTGGGTGGACTGTCTATAAAGCTGTGGTTTACCTACATTCACTATTGTCTGGCCTAAAGGAAAAAATATGTGAGGTAGGAGTGTGGAGCAGATAGGTTTTTTATCATTTCATCTCGTGTTGTCATGGTTGAGAAATTGATTCTCAAAGCAGCTCTCATGTTAAGCGTGGCTTAGCCTTTTTCAGCAACTAGGCCCCATATTTCTCTCTTCAGTATTCCTATAAACCAAACTGTTCTTACATGTCCTTTTTTCATTTTCATCTGTCTAGCACACTTAATCCACTTTTTATCAAAGCCCGCAAGACCACAAGGTCGGCTGTACATGGTGTTGAAATATTACAAAAACCATCACCCAAAATGACCAGTACTTCAAAACCCACTGCTGAATGCTGAGACATAAACACAAGTTGAGGCAGCTGTGGCTTCACGCCTTTAGCACCCTGTAGTGCAAAATGAACAGGAAGAAAGACCGTTTTATGTGCACAGGTAACCAGGAACAAAGATTCAGCCAGATAAATTGCCAGGAAGGTCGGGGAGCTGAGGGCCTTCGCTGCAGGGGAGACAGAAAGCAGGACAATGGGAGACTTGTGCTAGAGATCATTCCTGAACCTGGCGTCTTCAACGCGTGTAGAATTTCTGTGACACACAGAGCAAGATTAAAACGAAGGAAATGAGGCAGAGGAGGAAGAGCACACCCCTGCCTTGAAATATTAGTATTGGGGTTAAAGGTCTCCCATTCATATCTCTCTGTGCTGGCCCCTTCTCCAGCACCTACTCTGAATGATCACTCAGGGCTACGGGCTGGAATGGAATCAAGTCTTAACCTGTGACCACCCAGGAGGCTGCAGAAGCTTGGGGAAATACTCCTTTATGTGAACCTGAGCCCCTGTTACTAAGAACATACAGCGTCACTGTCATCTTTTTCCCCACAGCAGACAGGCAGCGAAATAACCATTCAAAGTGGGGGGAAATCAAGGAGAAGGGGACAGAGCCCCAGGGAGAAGGGACAGTTGTGCCCCAGTCATTCTGCTCTGCAGAATAGGACCTGCCGTTTTGTAGCTGCGTGACCTTACGAAGTGACAGCCTCTCAGAGCCTCAGTTTCCCTTTGTGGAGAATGGTATCATTTCTGTTTGACTGAGTTCTTGTGGAAATTAGAGGTAATAGGTATAAGTCCAATGACCAGCACACATGTTCTATTAGAGCAGCTACGATAGTTGTGATAAGTGTGTCAACTTGCATCATTTATTTCAATCCCTGTCTCCTGAAATACCTTCTTAGAGTAATTAGGTATAGTGTATAACTTCTTCTGGAGAGAAATATCAGGAGATTTGGACCAATAGTTATTGAGTTGGGGTGTTTGACCCCTAACACTTGCAGTCAGTTGAGAAATATGTCTCAGTCTTCTGCCAAATACAAGATATACCACGTTAGAGATACTGTATTTTTCCCCAAAAGGCATGAAGATATTGGGCTCCCACACTGTGGTTTCCTAGTGAGAATCAAGAACCGGGGTTTGGGGGTTGGAGGCTTCATAACAGTCATTTGTCAGAGCTCCTTAGGATCAGCATTCATCTGACTCAGGAAGGCGAGGTGCCCCAGTCAGATTTGCAGCCCATAGCGAAGGACTCTTGAATTTCAGTGTTTTGTTAGGTTGCGGAGGAAGGAAAGGCACTAGGATCAAAGGGGATCCTGGGATCTACAAACAAACTCTTCATTTACATGTCGGGTTTTTTTGTTGTTGTTTTTTTTATCATGGAAACACACTTCAAAATAATCTTTTTCTTTGAATTGAAAACTCAATGATACTCCTAACAAAAGAGGAAAAACGTGAAAGCTCATCTTCAAATACCAAACGCAGATAAAATACCCCTCTGCTGTTTACACAGTGTCGATCATCACAAAGATTATGATACAGAATAAAATTCTGGGAGGGGACTGGACCTGATGGAGGGTCTGGCACTAGCAAGCCTGGGAAAGGAGAAAGTTCCTACTGTTCTATGTAATCACAGTGGCGACCAGAATAGAAATGCCAGGTTAATCTTGAGGAAAGTAAGTCCTCAGAAGGGAACAGCACAGATGTAGCCTTGAGTGTTCTGGGAATTATAATCTCAGTCTAGAGCAGGATTTCTCAACCTTGGCTGTGTTGATGTTTCAGGTAAGTCTTTGTTGTGGGGACTGTCCTGTGCATTGTAGGAAGTTTAAAGACGTGTTCACACACATACACACAAACACATACAAACTCATACACACACACGCTCACACACACACTGACACACATACTCACTTTCACACACATAAACACACACACATAGTCACACTCACACACACACTTTAGCTGTGACAAGTGAAAATGAATCCGGTCGCTGCCAGATGTCCCCTGGGGGCACGATCGCCTCCTGTTGAGGACTATTGATGTAGACTGTCAGTGTGGGCAGCAAACTCTGGGCTTAATTCCAGACCCTGTCGCCCACATGGATGCTTTTGACCTCCTGGGATGCTCTGTGGCAACACTTTCAAGACTGTCAGGGGACATCAGGTTTCAAGAAATATAATGTTCATAAGAGCATAGTTATACACGTATAGTTTGTAAAACTCGGGAACTGGGTTAATCAGGAGACAATTTCAGAATAGTTCTATTAAACATTTGTTTTCAGCTATTGGGATCTTTCAAGTTATGCTCAGTGGCATCGTGTCATTAGGGCTCCCGGCCTGGCTGAAAGGAAATGAAGCCGTAAGGCGACATAGTAAGCACTTCTGGGTCTGCCCGGAACGCATCCGGGAACGACAAGGCGCTCGTCCCTGTGACTGTACCCACCACGACTGCCCCAACCCCTTTCCTGTTCTGCGTTCCTGTCCTTACTCCTCTGACTAGCTGTCCGATCAAAGATGAGTCAAGTATCTGGAGAAATGTGCTTTTCCTTGAAGAAATAACCCAGGGGCCCGTCGGAACCTCCTGCGGCCCTGGGGTGATGCTCAGCTTTCTGGGCTGACGTCCTGATGAAGGAAGAAGGGTGCTGGTTGCCCGGTGCTCTCGCCACCTGCACGGCTTGTCAGTCATCGAGGTGCGGCATCCTGGGCGTCCCAGGCCAGCAGAGACGGCAGGAGTCGTCCTGACCACATCGGTGATTGCGTTTCAGGCGCCTTCAGAGGCAGTACTGGGAAGCGTGGGGTCCTGGAAAAGTAAGAGTCTGTTTGCCCCGAGGCCTGAGCACTCGCTCTAAGGACAGCAGTCCCTTTAGGGAAAGTCGTCCATAGCAAACAAAGGCAGAGTTCTTTTTACGTCACATGCTCGTAAAGCCGGAGTTGAGGTCGTTTTCTCTGGTGGCTTTTCTCTGAATAGCTTGGGGGTGTCCTGTACCGTTGCACCCACATCCAGCTGAGAACTGAGGAGGCTCTCTCCAGGCCCCAGCACAGCCTGGGTTAGGGTGGAGGCTGGCCACGGGTGGTGGAGTGACGTGAAAACCCTCCCGTGGGGGTGGGGGGAAGGGGGGGCACAGGAGAGTGGGGAAGTCGGGGAGAACCCGGCCTACCTTTGCAAGAGGGAATCGACGTCGTCCCTGCTGACCTTCCTTGTGAGAGGGCTCTGGTGTGGAAGTAAATGCTGGCCGTGGGATCTGAGTGATGGCGGGAGTTGTGGGCTGGTGGCTCTGGGATGAGGGAGGCCCTCCCGAGGCACCAGCATTCTTTTGCTTTCCCCAAACTCATGAGACGAAGCTTCAGTTTCCCCTCCCCTCCCACGCGACGGTTCGTATGGTGTCCAGTCCAGCAGGTCGGAGCCTGCAGGCCGGGAGCGGCGTGATTGACAGCTGCGCCTCAGGAGGGGCATCGGGACCGGGGCCATCGCCGAGGGGAGACACTCAGCTTTGTTTTGGAGGCAGGCAGGCCTTTCTCTGTTTCTTCTGAGAGTTTATCTTTTCCACCGAGCCCTGCGCAGGAGGCTGGCCCTGTTCTCTCGGCTTTGTTTTGCTGTGATGCTCCCAGGATAGTAGTTCCCAGCCTTCTGGCAGGAGGTGTGTTCAGAGAGGTGTGTGAACTGCAAGTCAGGTTGGTTGTTGAGAGCATAAGGTGCGGACCCAGGGACTCGGGTTCACGTCCTGGACCCACACTGGCCTTCTGTGTAACTTTGAGTCAGTTTCTCAGTCTCTTTAAGCCTTAGTTGACTCATCAATAGAGTGAAGACCATAACTGGTCCCCCTCCCATGGGTTTCAGCAGGGCCCAATAAGATGGCACAGGACGGAGGATGGCGTGGTGTGTGGCATATGGATACCCCATGCCTGGAGCTGTTGTTATGATGCCAGTGGCATGGGCATAGGGAAAAGATTGAGTGCATTCCCAGCCTCTGCTCTTCATTTGGGATTTGTTTCATTCAGTCCCCTTCCCTCTGTAAAAAGAGGACATGCATATTTTTTTTCCGGCATGCCCAGTATTCTCTGTAGCTGCTTGACTTTCC